TTTTCAAGGTATTTTTTGGGGCTTTTAAAGCTGTTTTTGTTGCTTTTAAAGCTGTTTTTTGGGGCTTTTCAAGCTGTTTTTTATTGCTTTAAAAGCTGTTTTTTGTTGCTTTTAAAGCTGTTTTTTGTTGCCTTTAAAACTGTTTTTTGGTGTGTTAAAAGCTGTTTTTTGTTGCTTTTAAAGCTATTTTTTGGGGCTTTTAAAGCTGTTTTTGTTGCTTTTCAAGGTATTTTTGGGGCTTTTAAAGCTGTTTTTGTTGCTTTTCAAGCTGTTTTTGGGGCTTTTAAAGCTGTTTTTGTTGCTTTTCAAGGTATTTTTTGGGGCTTTTAAAGCTGTTTTTGTTGCTTTTAAAGCTGTTTTTTGGGGCTTTTCAAGCTGTTTTTTATTGCTTTAAAAGCTGTTTTTTGTTGCTTTTAAAGCTGTTTTTTGTTGCCTTTAAAACTGTTTTTTGGTGTGTTAAAAGCTGTTTTTTGTTGCTTTTAAAGCTATTTTGGGGGCTTTTAAAGCTGTTTTTGTTGCTTTTCAAGGTATTTTTTGGGGCTTTTAAAGCTGTTTTTGTTGCTTTTCAAGCTGTTTTTTGGTTGCTTTTAAAGCTGTTTTTTGGTGGCTTTTAAAGCTGTTTTGGGGGCTTTAAAGCTGTTTTGAGGGCTTTTATGTTTCTGTTTTTGCATTTGGATGCTTTTATCCAAAGCGACTCCAAAAGCAGACCCAATGTTCCAGCTTTAAAAGCCACAAAACATCTATCTATCTGGTAAAACTTTACTTCTCTGGGCAGATTTCCAGAGACAAACTTCCTTGAAGTTAGATTAGATTCCATCATCCTGAGACGGAACGAGCCACTCAGAGAAAAAACAAAAACACCCGGAAAAAAATCCTGAAACTCCGGATGTCTCCAAAGAGGAGAGCCGCGGTTTGGGCGCGCGTTTCAGCCCGAAAACACACGTTTAGTCCGGGTAGAAACCCCCAGGTTATTAAATATAAATTTAATAGATATTTTTGTATTATTTAATTTCAAATAAGGACTTTTAATTAAGGTTAAATTAGGTCCCCGGAGCCCTGACCCGTATCACCGGAACTTATCTTCCTGATACTGCGACCCCCCCGGAGAGGCGTGGGTTTGCTCACCGGGGGGTTTTCCGGGGTCCCCGTGGACCCGCAGTCCGGTAGGCTCATCCTGGGGTCCCTGAGTCCGGGGGGGGGGGGAAGATCCACCGGGTCTCCTCTTTTTCTGGACTTTTTTCTCGTTGGAGCTCTACTGAGCAGGTAGCAGCCAAGGGGGCGTGGCCTAACCCGGATGTACTGAGCAGGTGGTAGCTGGGGGGCGTGGCCTAACTTGTCTTTTTTAATAGGGTATCATCTAGGGGGCGTGGCCTAACCCAGGTAGACAGGGGGGGTGGCCTAAGACGGTTCTGCTAACCAGGTATCAGATAAGGGGCGTGGCCTAACCCGGCTATGATGAGAAGATAGCAGAATTGACCTACAAACAGGATTTAACCATAAAAACATAAATAAACGGTTTGGCTCAAACTGTGAGGGCACACTTGTTCAAAAAGCAGCCGAATTATCTATCCTTTTGAAAAATGTTCAGAACCGTGGTCATTGTACATGTTATTCCTCTTCTTGAACATTTTTGTTTACTGCCTAAGGTCAATATCCGTTAGATTCTAAACCGAATTTGGGGTGTTAAATACTTGTGTTAAATGACAATAAAGTTTAATCTACATTATTCATTCTGATCATTTGGAGCAAATCCTAAACTTTACCTTCAATATTGTTTCTGCTTCAGCCTCCATTTCACATCACACGGTCGGATAAATATAATATAGTAAAATATAAAATGTAAATATAGTAAGACAAAGAAATATATTCACATTTTAGCCTCGGCAGAACTAAAATTCATGTCCAATTTCAGACTTTTCCAGAAGAATATCTGAGATGAATTTAGAAAAGGAGTTTAGAAAAGCAGAAGGAGGCTCCTCTGAGTGGTTACTAGTTTCTAGACTTTGTGGTTATTAGTTTGTAAATGGGAGGCAGAGCCCTCAGTTATCAGGCTCCTCTGAGTTAACTGGGCCACTTTGTGATCGGGACTTCCAAACCGAACCAGGAGTCCTGACGGGCGTTTAACAGAAGAAACCACAACACAACTCTCCCAGTGTATTTTCCAGATTTTATTCTTTTTGTACACAAAAATCACAGAGCCTGTGTTCCATCCAGCCGAGCGGTTAAAACCCTGTAAAGAAAAGAAAAATCTCCATCAAAACAAGCTTTAAAAACTCTCCCGACTTCAGAAAATCCACATAGAAATAGCTTTTAAAAACAATTCAACTCAGACTCCACGTTTGGGACCGAACGCCCCTAAAATGGAGTCTAATCCTCCCTTATCCTTCTCAGACAAATGCCTCGATGTCTTCAGAGGAAAGGCCTCCGGGCTCTGAGGAACTGGGGCAGAACCACAGAACGTGGACCTGAACCAGCAACCAGCAGAGCC